CCAACGGGGTTGTCTAAAAAGAGGACGCCGTAGCGACGGTTCCAGGGAGCGGGGTTCGGCTCGATATTGAGCGATTCGGTGATTCGATAAGGGCCGAGCTCGTAAAAATTCCCGATCATGCTTGAACAACCCGGGCCGCCTTGAAGCCAGAGGATGATTGGCGTATCGGATTGAGCCGTTTCCGGCTCGGTTGCCTCGTAGTATGCGAAGTACATCTTCGCGCCCGTGGTTTCGTTAGTAATCAGGTTACCCGAGGCAGTAGGGAGAGCTTTTCTCGGGAACGGCGCCAGGATCTGATTTACGGCTTTGGCTTCGCTAGGGAGTTCCTCGCTTCTGGTGTAAGAGGCGAACGGTAAAGCTGCCAACATAAACCAAGCTAGCATCTTGAGGACGGAGAAGATCGAGAACGATCTGTTAGTATCCATGGCGAATCGCATCATCGATCCGAGCGGCCGCATCATCCACCTCTGACTTGCGTAAAAGCACCAGCTTGCTCCACAAATGGCAAGGAGGAACTACGAAACAGCCTACTGTTTCGAAGGAGGGACGGAGGGACGAGGAGCGACGGAGGGAGACGTGAGGTCCGAATGACTCTCGAAGAACTTATTTTTCCAGCATGCTTCTAGCAAGCCTCAGAGGGCCGCAGCAACGAGATACACAACCCCTGCACGCGAAATTGCCTTGCACTTTCCAGAAACCTTGCACGCGTGGGTTTTTTCCCGGGCAGTTGCACCCACGTTACAAGCACGTCAACCAATACGAACCACAGAAACTGAAGAGACCGAAGTCAAACAGTCAACGGTGAGTTACAAAATTTTGCTATAAGCCCTTTTTGCCCGACGCGAATTGACGAACCTCCACGAAATGCAAGAATCACTTAAGAGCCCTCTTCACAAGGCAACCTTGGGTTAGTCAAACGGGCATCGTGTGTAATGTGGCTCGTTGTGCTAAATCGAGCGTCGATAGCAGGGGTTGAGGGTGGCGTGCGGGTGAGTCCATCATGTGAGGTCTCGAGATTCCCGCGACGCGTGATCAACGAGCACCACCCTCATTTTACTGGTTCTCGTGAGTCTGACGAAAGGTACGGCTGACGTGGACGGTCGTACCAAGGAGCATTCTCAAAGAACAGCATTTGCTTTGGCGGGAAGGCATTCCCAAGAAGAATATTCGCTCGAAAGCTGCCTACATTTTGGTTGGGAGAAGATCATATTGGGGCCGAACATTAGCAGGGAAGTGTCCGAATTAGGGCCGGATAGCCGAACCTGGAGTTTTGGAGCTAAAAATCGATAGGTTCCATACTCGCGTAAGTGATTTCACTTGTCATAAGCTCTGACCATCCCGCGTGTCGTAACTGATCAACAGTAAACTTCACGTTTTATGTCGATATAACCCAGTAATTTCCACTCGTTTGGGCAGAGTAGAAAAACTATAACCTTTAGGAAACTGTTAGGGCAGAGTAGAAAAACTATAACCTTTAGGGAAGCTGGACGCATTTTCGGGAGGGATCAACCCTAAATACGGGAACCAGCCTGGAATTTAGGGTTGATGCCTCCCCGAGTCGCATCCATTTCCGACGGGGTTTTATTTTCTGTCAGCAAAAACTATGGTTTTGTTGCTGAAAACGAACATGTACTTCTGTTTTAAATTATATAAACAAGACGAAACCACCCCCAGAGGAATACGACGCGAGCTTCGTAATAGGCGGCGATCTTAATGTAACCAGAACATTGGAACAAAAAAGTCGCAAGTTAGCAATTTCCTCTAACGCTTGGTTCGGAACCTCGGCCCAGCCACCTGGGCAGCCCCGGGGTTATATCCAACGGTTGGGATTAACCTAGCCCTAATTTGGTCACTTTCCTGCTAATGTTCGGCCCCAGTTTGATCTTTTCCCATTTTGGTTGCAGCGAGAAGGTTCCACAAAGCACATGCTCCGTCAAACGTGGATAAGGGCGCGTCACCTCTCAACCAGTCGGCCAAAATTCGAACGCTGTCATGATTTTCAGTGCCCGAACAGCACAATTCCGATGTTCGAACAAGATTTGGGAATTTGGTGAAAGGTGACGGTGTGTCACATGAAGTGACAGGTGTGTTCGAAAATGCGACGTCGCCTACCGTGCGACGTCGCACAACCGTCGCCAGAAAGATTTGATTGCATAACGAACATCAAAATGCAGTCGCATGTGCTCATCCCGAATTACATTCGAACGGACTCATTCGAACAACAAGCGCGAAATCCCTCGTGCTGGATGTGACAGCTCTGTTCGATTTAGCGACGTTTTTATTTACGAACTGACGAAGGCTCAACGAATATATTGCGTAAATTGGCGAAAATTGTAACACTTCGCATGTTCGAACAAAGGGGTTTGTTTGAATTTAGAGGTGACGCGCCCTAAAATTGAAGGTACAAAAAAACAATCACGATTTCAACATTAGTTTCTATCAGATGGCCTTCCTGCGAAGTCTGGACATGGACAGCCCCAAAAGTGCAGATTTTTTTGTCCACCCTGGCAGCTTTCACGTCTACCCCCCGTGCCAGCCGACTCTGATGTGTGCAATCGTTAGGAGAATGCGAAACCTAACGACCAATGAGATTTGCATGCGCGACTCAATTGACAGTCAGCGTTCGCAACCCTAAACCCTCGACAGATTCTCGCCACACGTCAATGGGTCTCGTCAGGGTCTGTGAACTCACGCGACGTCCAGATTCGTTCCTTCCACCTCATCACAATGACTACTTTCTTGCACGTGCGAAGTGCACTTTTCGCTGTCCCTACTTCGAAGTTGGTTGGGACAGCACAGGAAGGCGATCTCAGTCCACCTACTAAAACTGTCCTAAAACTGTCCAAGTTGTTTGAATTTCAACTTGGCAATTTGGTTTCTCACTGTTGAAACCAAGTGGGCTACATTTCGGGGGATATGGTGGGGAAAAAAAAGACGCCTACAGCACCAACCGTGTTGGAGGACAGGTCATAGGTGGCCCCTCATCGAGACACTGTACAATGGTCACTACTCTTCGAGGCAAAGAGCAACTACCAATCGTAGCGAAAAGCAGCCCATTGAAGAAGTTCCCACTCCTTGTGGTCTCACCTCCACAACCGCAAAGGTGCGTGTACCTTCGTCCACACACAGAACGCCCGTTTTCCTCCAACAATCACAGCACCTCCACACAGCACACCTCCATCAGATCAGCATCCCTGAGACATGTGCTGGGTTCAACCGGCTTGTACCATCAGGCTTGCAACAGCAGAAGCAGCAGCATTTCAGCCTAGCACAGACCGCCCACCTACAGGCACCTCCACCAGATCAGCATCCCTGAGTCGCGTACTGGGTTCCACAGGCTTGCACCATCAGGCTTGCACCATCAGGCTTGCACCATCAGGCTTGCAACAGCAGAAGCAGCAGCATTTCTGCACTACGACAGAGGCCCACCTACAAGCCCTCCACACAGCGCACCTCCACCAGATCCCCATCCCTGAGCCACATGCTGGGATACACCGGCTTCTTACATTGAAACCAGCAGCAGCATCATTTCAGCAGTGAAAAACGACTCTTACCACCTACAGGTCCTCCTCACACCGCACCTCCACCTGATCCCCATCCCTGAGCCGCGTGCCGGGATCCACCGGCTTGTCATTGACAAAGGATGATCATGCAAGGAAGCAGGTGCTGACTCTACAGCTCCTCCTCACAGCGCACCTCCACCAGATCCCCATCCCTGAGCCGCGTGCCGGGATCCACTGTCTTCCCATTCACAAAGATAGCCTCCCGCGCAGCAGCAGCATTTACACTGTAAAAAGGAGCCACCCACCTACAGGTCCTCCTCACAGCGCACCTCCACCAAGTCCCCATCCCTGAGCCGCGTGCCGGGATCCACCGGCTTGTCATTGAAGAAGGATGATTATGCAAGGAAGCAGGTGCTGACTCTACAGGTCCTCCTCACAGCGCACCTCCACCAGATCCCCATCCCTGAGCCGCGTGCCGGGATCCACTGTCTTCCCATTCACAAAGATAGCCTCCCGCGCAGCAGCAGCATTTACACTGTAAAAAGGAGCCACCCACCTACAGGTCCTCCTCACAGCGCACCTCCACCAAGTCCCCATCCCTGAGCCGCGTGCCGGGATCCACCGGCTTGTCATTGAAGAAGGATGATTATGCAAGGAAGCAGGTGCTGACTCTACAGGTCCTCCTCACAGCGCACCTCCACCAGATCCCCATCCCTGAGCCGCGTGCCGGGATCCACCGGCTTGTCATTGACAAAGGATGATCATGCAAGGAAGCAGGTGCTGACTCTACAGCTCCTCCTCACAGCGCACCTCCACCAGATCCCCATCCCTGAGCCGCGTGCCGGGATCCACCGGCTTGTCATTGACAAAGGATGATCATGCAAGGAAGCAGGTGCTGACTCTACAGCTCCTCCTCACAGCGCACCTCCACCAGATCCCCATCCCTGAGCCGCGTGCCGGGATCCACCGGCTTGTCATTGACAAAGGATGATCATGCAAGGAAGCAGGTGCTGACTCTACAGCTCCTCCTCACAGCGCACCTCCACCAGATCCCCATCCCTGAGCCGCGTGCCGGGATCCACCGGCTTGTCATTGACAAAGGATGATCATGCAAGGAAGCAGGTGCTGACTCTACAGCTCCTCCTCACAGCGCACCTCCACCAGATCCCCATCCCTGAGCCGCGTGCCGGGATCCACCGGCTTGTCATTGACAAAGGATGATCATGCAAGGAAGCAGGTGCTGACTCTACAGCTCCTCCTCACAGCGCACCTCCACCAGATCCCCATCCCTGAGCCGCGTGCCGGGATCCACTGTCTTCCCATTCACAAAGATAGCCTCCCGCGCAGCAGCAGCATTTACACTGTAAAAAGGAGCCACCCACCTACAGGTCCTCCTCACAGCGCACCTCCACCAAGTCCCCATCCCTGAGCCGCGTGCCGGGATCCACCGGCTTGTCATTGACAAAGGATGATCATGCAAGGAAGCAGGTGCTGACTCTACAGGTCCTCCTCACAGCGCACCTCCACCAGATCCCCATCCCTGAGCCGCGTGCCGGGATCCACTCGCTTCCCGTTGACAAAGATAGCCTCCCCTGCCGAACACAGCTCTGCTGAACACAGCAGCGCAGCAGCAGGATCACCACTGCTGCTGCTGATGCCAGAACTACTACTGCTGCTGCTGCTGCTGCTGCTGCTGCTGCTGCTGCTGCTGCTGCTGCTGCTGCTGCTGCTGCTGCCGCTGCTGCTATCACTGGTGCTGCTGTTTCTCAATCCCTCGCTGCCCCCTCTATCCCTACCGGCCAGCACCGCACTAGACAGTTCCCCAGAGCTCCGGAACCCACTGGACCCACTAGACACTCTCGAGGCAGAGGGGGTGGCGGTGGTGGGGGAGAGGGAGAGGCGGAGCCCATCAGATGAGATCACGGCAGCTGCTGCTGCTGCATCCCCCGTGGCTGCCTTGGCTCGCAGGCGAGCAAAGTCCCCTGCCAGGCTGCCTGCTGGCATGCGCACTATCTCACCCCCTGCAATAACGGGGAAGGGAGGAAGGGATGGGTGCAACATGAGAAAACATTGCTTGAGAAACCTGCTGCTGCTGCATCCCCCGTGGCTGCCTTGGCTCGCAGGTGAGCAAAGTCCCCTGCCAGGTTGCCTGCTGGCATGCGCACTATCTCACCCCCTGCAAGACCAAGCAAAGGGAAGGATTGGTGGATGGGAGAACTTTCTTGAGAACGAACCACTGCATCCCGGTCAGGTTGTCTGTCTGTCGGAGGGCTGGCAAGCGTTTCAAACAGTAGAATTGATCAACCACCATGTTGACTGACAATGAGTTCTTACCAGGCCAGCTTATAACGAGTACTTCGCTGAGAGCAACAGCGTCCACTAGGCTTTCTTGTCCTGTTCCCTCCCCCTCTTCTCGCATCTCATCCCCCTCGCCTCCACTGCTACCACTGCCGCTGCTGCCACCACCACTGCCGCCGAAGCTGCTGCTGCTAGTGCTGCTGTCTATGCCCAGACCAGCCAAGGTGCCGTCCGGTGCTGCCTCGTGCCGAACCTCCCGCTCCCATTGCAGCATGGACCGGAGAAGCCGAACCTGTGAGACAGGTCCGGGACGACAGCAGGATGGGCAAGGATATCAGAGATACCAGGCACTGAATAAGGGAGACGTAAATTTGGAAAGAGTAAAGAAAGAATCAGACTTAAAACCGACCATGTTGTGGATATGAGGTTTGAGGGAGCGGGGAAGGAGTCAGACTTAAAGCCCACCTTGTTGTTTATTCTTGCAGCAGACGAGAGTGGCGCCTCTTTTCCCTCAACCCCCCTGCCACCAGTTGTGCTGCTGCTGCTGCCATCGGTGTTACCGCTGCTATCACTACCCATGACACTGTCTCCTCCCATACTCGTAGTGGCACCAGTAGCAGCTGCAGCAGCAGTGCTGGGTGGACTTTCCACCCAGGGCGCTACACTAGCACCTCTATCCTCTACAGCATCCATACTCCTCTTTAACTCTCGCTCCCTCTCTCGCTCCCTCTCTCGCTCCCTTTCTCGTTCCCTCGCCATCAATTCCCTCTCTTCCACCCCTCTCGTCCATCCCCATATCCTCCCAAGCCCCCACTTCCACATCCCTCTCCCTCCATCCATCCTCTCCTCCTCACTCCCCTCCTCTCCCCCCCACCTCTCCTCCTCCCCACCCTCCCCCTCCCCTAACCCTCCAATTCCCGCCGCTGCTAACCCCTCTATAAGCGCCACCGCTACAGTTGTTTCATAATCTACACTCTCTTCGTCCGAAAGTTCTAGAAGCTGTATAAAAGTGGATTGCGCGCGGCCGAATTGGTCCACTTTATGGTATATCCCATCACTGCATAACGAGTATTTCTCCAAAACGGTGCTCCAGTCCCCATGCCCAGGCGAATTCCACCAAGTATCCTTCACCCGCGCAAAAAGACGAACATTCGCCGCCCACCGCTTCCCCTGCGGCCCGCTCCGGGCAGCCACGAGAGAATCCCGGGCAGGCAGGGAAAAACTCGACGCGACAAGAAGAGTATTTCCACCATTTTCCGTACTAAACACTACAGAGGTTAGCAACTTCCCATCTTCTACCCTCAAAGCAGGATGTCCCTCCAATATCACCTTCCCATTAGGTAGTTGCATCCTAGCAAGTCGAGCAACTGCCTTTTCCTGAACACCCTCTGCTGCCTCCCCCTCTGCTTCCTCCTCCAAGTCACCCTCCACCTGATCCACCTCCCCCACATCAGACAAAATAGCTGCAGTCGGGGGTACAGTAGCCACGGGCACCACACCTGCATCGGGCACCACACCTGCATCCACCACTGGGGTTGCGGAAGGCTCGGGCTGAGCCCGAGCATCCAAGCCTGTGCTGGATTGGAAATTATCCGTGGCTTCTTGGTCCGTTTTGGGCGATGGGGTAAGGTCTGTATAGGGCAATAAGGATGCAAAAGCTGGTGCTGGTGTTTCGGTTGGTGCTGATGCTGATGCTGCTGGTGATGGTACAGGTGCTGCTGGTTCTGCTGGTTTTAAGGCAACACCTGGAGCGAAAGAATTGGCATCGGACTGACTCTGCTGAACATAACTTCTACTCACCTCTTCCTCCTGCTCCTGCTGCTTCTGCTGCAGCTGCTGCTCCATCTCCCCTTCCAAACCACCAGACCTTACTCCCACTACTGCAGCATCTGTGCTCTCAGTCTCACTGCTGCTGCTAGTCGCTCTGCTGTTACCAACCATCCTGCCCTGCAGGCTCCTGTTGCTCTGTGTCCCTCTGCTAGAACCACCCCGAGCAATCTCCACACTTCCACTGTTGCTCCTGTTGCTCTGCGTCCCTCCCCTAGAACTCTCCCTCACCCTGTTGCTCATGGTCCCGCCTTTCGTGCCACTCCCAGTCATACCACTGCTGGCAACACCCTCAAACGGCTGGTTCTCAAAATCCGTGGCTGAAAATGGCTGGAACTTGCCTGTTCCACGCCTCCTCTCCTGACCGCTATCAGCGGCACCAGAAGCAGCAGCAGCATCAGGAGCAGCAGCAGTAGCAGAAGCAGGAGGGTCAGAAGAGGAAGGAGAGGAGAGGAAGGAGGAGACTTTGGAGGAGACAGAAGAGGTGAAGGAGGAGAGGAGCGAAGAGGAGGAGGAGGTCGAACCACCCTGCTGCTGCTGCTGCTGCTGAATGCTGCCTGACTGTACAGGTGGAGCGTTCTCATTTGACAGCGATTCAGGTTCTGTAGAGGGGGCAGAGTCAGTAGTATCACTCTCCTTGTACAGCCAGTGAGCCGCGTGACCGAACTCTGCATACTCGTGCATGGACTGGCAGGGAGGAGAGCGGGAAAGGAAGGGAACGGAAATGGTATGGGGAAGGTGGAAGAGTCAGGAGCATCGCACTCCTTATACAGCCAGTGGGCCGCATGACCGAACTCTGCATACTCGTGCATGGACTGGGGGGTTGGTGGGAGGAAAAAAACGAAGTGGCAGCGTGAGAGATGAATGAAAGGGCACATTAGCCAAGTGATGGAGCTAAGAAAATGGGGAATTTATTATTTTCCTGCTCTTTAATAAAAAAATAACAAAAAAAGAAAGAAAGAAAAAAGAAAACAACAACAACAACAACAACAACAACAACAACAACAACAACAACAAAACTTAAGGCAAAAAAACAATGGATACACAAGGGCCAGTAACAAACATGAAACCCACCTGAGTGCGGATTTGCACTTCCAAAGGTGCTCCGTCCGGACCTCTGACAGCCGTGTGCAGTGACTGGCGAAAGAGAACAGAGATGGGAGGGAAAGAAGGAGCAAAGGAGAGGGGGTGTAAGAGGAGTGAGTAGCGAATAGAATCACTTATATGCTAAGAGTCGAATTGTCAGGGATTGATTGCAATAGCTGCATTCAATAAATCAATATTCCATTCTCGCATTGACATAACAACTCAACGTTACCTGGTAACCGCTCGGCTTGGGGTTGAGGATGTAATCATCAAACTCTCCACCAATGGGAGTCCAGAGACTGGTTTGGAAAGCAGCAGGTTACGGGGCGAGGCAAGGAAGGGAAGAAAGGGGGAAGTGAGATGGCTTGCGAGGAAGGTGAGGAAGAGAACAAACGCAGGAACGGTGAGTCCTGTTGCCATCCCCACCCCCACCACCACTCGCAGCGCCCGCGCATCGTAGATCTTGTCAAGAGGCACGCGCTTGCGGATCTACTACAGACAGGCACATGGATTACACCCACCCACCTGACCCACCCACCTGTGCACGACGCTGAGCAGGTTGTAACAAGCTTCCACGGCTGCTTCATGCTGAGTCCCATTGGCATCCCCCACCACCACTCGCAGCGCTACAGACACATGGTGGTTACAATTGCTGTAGCAGCACCTAGCCCACCTGTGCACGACGCTGAGCAGGTTGTAACAGGCTTCCACAGCCGCCTCATGCTGGGTCCCGTCCGCATCCCCCACCACCACTTGCAGCGCCCGCGCGTCGTAGATCTTGTCAAGAGGCACGCGCCTGCAGAGCAGACCTACTACATACAGGCACATGGACTAGACCCACCCACCAGACCCACCTGTGCACGACGCTGAGCAGGTTGTAACAGGCCTCCACTGCTGCTTCGTGTTGGGTTCCGTTGCCGTCCCCCACCACCACCCGCAGCGCCCGCGCGTCGTAGATCTTGTCGAGAGGCACGCGCTTGCGCCGCATCTTGGCATGACAGCTGTACATGCTCTTGAGCCGGCCAGACAGCACGATTTCCATACCGGGTACATAGCTGGAGGAGGGGCAAGAGGGGAAAGGAGGGGACAGTGCATCTTGGCATGACAGCTGTACATGCTCTTGAGCCGGCCAGACAGCACGATTTCCATACCGGGTACATAGCTGGAGGAGGGGCAAGAGGGGAAAGGAGGGGACAGTGCATCTTGGCATGACAGCTGTACATGCTCTTGAGCCGGCCAGACAGCACGATTTCCATACCGGGTACATAGCTGGAGGAGGGGCAAGAGGGGAAAGGAGGGGACAGTGCATCTTGGCATGACAGCTGTACATGCTCTTGAGCCGGCCAGACAGCACGATTTCCATACCGGGTACATAGCTGGAGGAGGGGCAAGAGGGGAAAGGAGGGGACAGTGCATCTTGGCATGACAGCTGTACATGCTCTTGAGCCGGCCAGACAGCACGATTTCCATACCGGGTACATAGCTGGAGGAGGGGCAAGAGGGGAAAGGAGGGGACAGTGCATCTTGGCATGACAGCTGTACATGCTCTTGAGCCGGCCAGACAGCACGATTTCCATACCGGGTACATAGCTGGAGGAGGGGCAAGAGGGGAAAGGAGGGGACAGTGCATCTTGGCATGACAGCTGTACATGCTCTTGAGCCGGCCAGACAGCACGATTTCCATACCGGGTACATAGCTGGAGGAGGGGCAAGAGGGGAAAGGAGGGGACAGTGCATCTTGGCATGACAGCTGTACATGCTCTTGAGCCGGCCAGACAGCACGATTTCCATACCGGGTACATAGCTGGAGGAGGGGCAAGAGGGGAAAGGAGGGGACAGTGCATCTTGGCATGACAGCTGTACATGCTCTTGAGCCGGCCAGACAGCACGATTTCCATACCGGGTACATAGCTGGAGGAGGGGCAAGAGGGGAAAGGAGGGGACAGTGCATCTTGGCATGACAGCTGTACATGCTCTTGAGCCGGCCAGACAGCACGATTTCCATACCGGGTACATAGCTGGAGGAGGGGCAAGAGGGGAAAGGAGGGGACAGTGCATCTTGGCATGACAGCTGTACATGCTCTTGAGCCGGCCAGACAGCACGATTTCCATACCGGGTACATAGCTGGAGGAGGGGCAAGAGGGGAAAGGAGGGGACAGTGCATCTTGGCATGACAGCTGTACATGCTCTTGAGATGGCCTGATAGGACGATTTCCATGCCAGGCACATAGCTGTGTGATGGGAGGGGAAGGAAACAAGAAGGGGATTCAATTCGGTACATGACATCTTGCCATGGCAGCTGTACGTGCTCTTGAGGCGGCCGGACAGGTCAATTTCCATACCGGGTACATAGCTGTGTGATGGGAGGAGAAGGAAACCAGCCAGCTGGGGTTTGGACTCAGTATCTTGGCATGGCAGCTGTCTGTACATGCTCTTGAGACGGCCTGAAAGTACGATTTCCATGCCAGGTACGTAGCTGCGGGGGGAGGGGAGAGGAGGACAGTGAACAGCGAATCTTGGCATGGAAGCTGTACGTGCTCTTGAGGCGGCCTGACAACACGATTTCCACGCCAGGCACGTAGCTGCACGAGAGGCGAGAGGGGAAACAGAAGGGACAGTGCATACTCAGTGCATCTTGGCATGGCAGCTGTCTGTACATGCTCTTGACTCTTGAGACATCCAGATAGGACGATTCCGTACCAGGCATGTAGCTGCTTGACGGGGGAAAGGGGGAGATAAGCGCACTCCTAGTGGAATGATAAGTGCACTCACGGTGTGGTGATGAGCAGCTCTCGCTGCAGTGCCTCCTCACAGCCGTGCAGAGCCGTGAGCGCCACCTCTGCATCGTGCATCACCCCCACTGCTTGCCTCACTAGCCCCTCACTAGCCCCCCACTAATCCCACCACTACTACCGACCAGCACTCACGGGGTGGTGATGAGCAGTTCTCTCTGTAACGCCTCCTCGCAGCTGTGCAGAGCCGTGAGGGCCACCTCTGCATCACGCATCACCCCCATTGCTTGCTTGCAGGCCCAACCACTAGCCCCACCAGCCCCACCACCACTACCAACCAGCACTCACGGGGTGGTGATGAGCAGTTCTCGCTGCAGTGCCTCCTCACAGCCGTGCAGAGCCGTGAGAGCCACCTCTGCATCGCGCATCACCCTCGTCCTCCTCCTCCTCACACCCCCCCCACTTGCCGTGCCGCTTGCCGTGCCGCTTGCCGTGCCACTCGCAGTGCCATTTGCAGTGCCATTTGCAGCAACACTCGCACCACCACCACCACTGGCAGCACCACCTCCACTACCCGCACCACTGGAACCACTGGTTGTACCATCAGTACCGCTTGTCCCACTGATGGTAGTAGCAGCACCAGCAGCAGCAGCAGCAGCTCCACCCGCAACAGGCCAAGCCACAGCCCTACTCCGTCTGTTCCTATCTGCCAGCAGATCGAACGGCACAACCGCTTCGATCAAATCCCAAATCGATGGCTCAGATTCACCCTCCTCCCCCGCCCCGTCCCTCGCGGCCTGTAGCAGCTTGCCACCTGGCACCGCGTCCAGCACTGCTCCCTCTGCTGCAGCCACCATGGATAGGAACTCGTTCGCTATAAGCACACCGCTGCTCTTGGCGCCTTTTGCGAGACTGTTCCCTTGAGTGCCACTTTTCCCCTGGGTGGTGGGAGTGCCACCCTGCGTGGCACTGTTTCCCCGGGTGCTGCTGCTTTCTTTCCCCTTCTGAGTGCTGCCGCTGGTGGTGCCTTCCTTAGAGCCGCCTTTCTCTGCGGATCCTGCGTGTGTGATGAAGTGAATGAGCCCTTTCTCAGGTTCATGCTCACCCATGGGGGACTCGCTCTCCTGCCCTTTCGACTCTGGTGTTTGTTCCTGCCTGATAGGAGTGACACTATCCGTCCCTGTGGCTGCTGCTGCTGCCGCTGCTGGTGCTGCTGCTGGTGCTGCTGCTGGTGCTGCTGCTGGTGCTGCTGCTGGTGCTGCTGCTGGTGCTGCCCCTTCTACTTGCCAAACCACCTCTGCCCACCTGCTGGCCAAACCCAAACAGCTCCAAGTCGCCCTCACTCTCACTGTCACTGTCACTGTCCATGCCGCTACGGTGGTATGCGGACACACTGCTCTCCCCAGCAAGACCAGCACCACCACCACCCGAAACAGCAGCAGCACCAGCACTATCAGCAGAGGCATTAACAGCAGCAGCATCACCAGCAGCAGTAGCAGCAGCGGCGAGGCGAGCAGGGCGGCGGCGCAGGCGCAGGCGCTCTCTGAGTGACCGCCAGTCCTCTGGGGAGCTCCACATGGTGGCCAGCTCGCTTCGCAGTTGCCTGAAGATGCGCGGCTGGAGTGGGGTTGAGTGTGGTACGGAAGGAGCGGGAAGGGTTGTGAGGAATGGGCAACTCCCTGCCCTATCAGCGACCGCCAGTCCTCAGGCGAGCTCCAAATGGTGGCCAGCTCGAATCTTAATTGCCTCAATATGCGCGGCAGGTGTGTGTGACGAACTCACCTCCAGCACAGCGAAGCACAGATCCTCCAGCTCTGCTTTCACGGCCCACACTCCAAGGCGAGAGGCCAGGGATACCGAGAGGCAGGAAGGTACTACACACAGGGAAGGATTGCTACAGTCTCATTTATCTCGGCATAGTTTCACTCACCTCCATTACGGAAAGCACAGATCCTCCAGTTCAGCTTTCCCCGGCCCACACACCAGTGCACCCACACACCGAAGCACCCACACACCGAAGCACCCACACACCAGTGCACCCACACACCGAAGCACCCACACACCGAAGCACCCACACACCGAAGCACCCACACACCAGTGCACCCACACACCGAAGCACCCACACACCGAAGCACCCACACACCGAAGCACCCACACACCACACAGAGAGGCAGGCGTGTGAGAAGATATGAACCCCTCGCTCTCACCCCAAGACTAGCTCACCTCGAGCCCTGCGAAGCATTCATCTTCCAGCTTGGCTTTCACGGCCCACACTCCAAGGCGGGACGCGAGGGAGACCGAGCTGGCACGAAGGTGCTACACTACACGCAGAGATGGATTGCCTCACTTATCTCAGCATATTTGCACTTACCTCCAGCACGGCGAAGCACAGGTCCTCCAGTTCGGCTTTCACGGCGCACACACTGAGGCACCCACACACAGAGGGAGGCAGGTGTGTGTGAGACAAGAAATAAACCCATCGTAATCACCCCAAGACTAACTAACTCACCTCCAGCACGGCGAAGCACAGGTCCTCCAGTCCAGCCCACACTCCAAGGCGAGAGGCGAGGGAGGGGGGGGGGGGGGGAGACAGGTGCAACACACATCCACACCTGATTCACCAGTTTACGATACACACCTGATTCACCAGTTTACGATACACACCTGATTCACCAGTTTACGATACACACCTGATTCACCAGTTTACGATACACACCTGATTCACCAGTTTACGATACACACCTGATTCACCAGTTTACGATACACACCTGATTCACCAGTTTACGATACACACCTGATTCACCAGTTTACGATACACACCTGGAGCACTGCGAAGCAGAGATCTTCTAGTTCAGCTTTCACGGCCCACACACCGAGGCGGGACGCGAGGGAGCACCAGACGGAAAGTGTCTCCTGTGCCACTGCCCTCGCCTTGCTGTCCTTGAGGGCGTAGCTGGGGGGACGGGGGAGAAGGGAGGGGAAAGAAGTAGAAGAAGTGTGAAAGCAGTGAAGGATGAGAAACAGGAAAGGGAGCACGCACGCACGCATGCTTCATTTGTGTTAGGCACACAGCCACATGCTTCGGTTGTATCACAGCACAGGTTCTACGCATGGAGCTCAAAACACATGGCAAGACTCACATGGTGCGCATGTTGTGCAGCCTGTCCGCTAGCTTTATAAGCACCACCCGAGGGTCGTTCGTTCACCATGCCCACATGCTTCCACGCTGGGGTAACATGGTATGTTCATATGCTGCACATGCGTCACTCACACACACTCACATGGTGCGCATGTTGTGCAGCCTGTCCGCCAGCTTAATAAGAACCACTCGTGGGTCGTTCACCATACCCAGCAGCATCATTCTCAGGCTGTCCACCTGGCGTGATTGTACGGAGAGGGCGGGGCGCCGGGGGAAAGGGGGCGGAAGGGCGGCGGTGAATGGGACATGGACATAGGGGGGCAGAGTGGACACTCGTAGGTCGTTCACCATACCCAGCAGCATCATTCTGAGGCTGTTCAGTGTCCACCTGGCGTGATTGTGACAAGGGAAGAGAAGGGAGACAGCGCAGGGGGTTGGGAGGGGAATGACAGGGGACGGACGAGCACCACCAGTGGGTCGTTCACCATACCCAGCAGCATCATTCTGAGGCTGTCCACCTGGTGCGATTGCGAGGAGAGGGCGAGGGAAAGGGGATGGATGGGCGGCGGTGAATGGGACATGGACATAGGGGGGCAGAGTGGACACTCGTAGGTCGTTCACCATACCCAGCAGCATCATTCTGAGGCTGTTCAGTGTCCACCTGGCGTGATTGTGACAAGGGAAGAGAAGGGAGACGGCGCAGGGGGTTGGGAGGGGAATGTCAGGGGACGGACGAGCACCACCAGTGGGTCGTTCACCATACCCAGCAGCATCATTCTGAGGCTGTCCACCTGGTGCGATTGCGAGGAGAGGGCGGGGGAAAGGGGATGGATGGGCGGCGGTGAATGGGATATGAACATAGGGGGGCAGATTGGACACCCGTGAGTCGTTCACCATAACCAGCAGCATCGTTCTCAAGCTGTCCACCTAGTTATAACGAGGGCCGGGAAGGAGGGGAAGTGGGAGGAGGAGGGGGAAGGAGTGGGAAAACCGAGTGTGGGGGGGATTGGAGAGGGGGGCGAATGGAGGAAAAAAATGAAGGAAGGGGGGGAGGGAGGAAGAGGACGAAGGAGATTATTGGAAGACGTTATATGCCGTAACCAGATGCACATACAGCGGACATGCTGAGAGAAGAGAAGCACTTACGTCCGCTGAACTTAGTCCTGTGTTCTCCTGTGCTCTCTGCTCTGCCGTAGCCCTGCGGTGCCGACGCAGCAACTGAACGGGCAGGAAGGGGGGGTCGGGGAGGGAACGAGAGAAAAGAGAAGATAGAAGTGAAAGGAAGAGGTAGGGGCGTTAGAAGGGGAAGGGAGATCGCATGGAGGGAGACGGGTGGAGAGAGGGGGGGCATGGGTGGAGAGAGCGCAAAGGAAGGGGGGAGCAACTGGGAGGGAAGAAGTGGGGGATTTAGGGCCAGGTCGAGCAGGATAGACGGTCAAAGTGAAGGAACGAGGGGTAGGGCAGGTCAGGTAAAATAGGAGATAAGAGGGAGGGGGTGTAACACCTGGTTGATGTGGCTGAGGCGAGACACGCCATCCACCAGCTGTGCCACGTCAGCACCGAAGAGCATTTCCACGTCAGCAATGTCGTACGGCGTGTCATCCACGATGTCATGCAGCACCGCTGCCACCACCGCATCCACCGCCTGGAGAGGAGAGCGGGACGAACGGGGGAGGGGTTATACGGCTATAATCGGACACCTGAAACTGAAAGTGTGTCATCCACGATGTCATGCAGCACTGCTGCCACCACCGCATCCACCGCCTGGAGAGGAGGAGAGACGAAAGGGGGAGGGGTATATGGTTATAACTGGTGACCTGAAACTGAAAGTGTGTCGTCCACTATGTCATGCAGCACTGCTGCCACCACCGCATCCACCGCCTGGAGAGGAGGAGAGACGAAAGGGGGAGGGGTATATGGTTATAACTGGTGACCTGAAACTGAAAGTGTGTCGTCCACGATGCCATGCAGCACTGCTGCCACCACAGCATCCACTGCCTGGAGAGGAGGAGAGAGGGATGGGGTGGAAGTGCTAAGGCTTTCCATGAGGCCTTTTTCCATGACCACCCACAGCCCGCACACACGGAGCCACATACACACCTTCTTGCCCTGAGGCGGCATCAGCGCTGCCAGTATGCGAGCAGTGTGCACGCAATGAGTCAAACGCGAGACATACGCACTCAGCCACACAGACAGAGCCACGCACAGGGAGCCACACAGACAGAGCCACACAGACAGAGCCACACAGACAGAGCCACGCACAGGGAGCCACACAGACAGAGCCACACAGACAGAGCCACGCACAGGGAGCCACACAGACAGAGCCACACAGACAGAGCCACGCACAGGGAGCCACACAGACAGAGCCACACAGACAGAGCCACGCACACAGAGTCACGCACACAGAGTCACGCACACAGAGCCACACACACAGAGCCACACAGAGAGAGCTACGCACATACACACCTTCTTGCCCTGAGGCGGCACCAGCGCAGCGAGGATGCGAGCAGTGTGCACGCAGTGATTCACATAAGGCTCCCCTGTCTTGCGGTACTGGTCCCAGTGCGCGTCCCTGGCGAATTCAACAGCCCGCAGCACAGCACCACCCACACAGAGCCATATACACAGAGCAGAGCCACATACACACCTTCTTGCCCTGAGGAGGCACCAGCGCTGCCAGTATCCGTGCAGTGTGCACGCAGTGGTTGACGTATGGCTCGCCTGTCTTGCGGTACTGGTCCCAATGGGCATCCCTGGCGAATTCAACCGCTCTCAGCACCTCTGGATGCCTGAAGATGGGGTAATCTGTGACGTCCACTGACTCGATTATCAACGGCTCTGAGCGTAGCGCAGCCAAGGGAGAGAGACGCGTGGGGGGCACAGCCAAGGGAGAGAGACGAATGAATGAGTGGAATGCGGAAGATGGGGTAATCTGCAACGTCCACTGACTCTATGATCAACGGCTCTGAGAGCAGCGCAGCCAAGGGAGAGAGTGGGGGGCACAGCCAAGGGAGAGAGACGCGTGGGGGGGAAGGAGAGAGAGACGAATGAATGAGTGGAATGTGGAAGATGGGTAATCTGTGACGTCCACTGAACCGACGACCAACGGCTCTGAGCAGCACAGATTCGGGACACGCGTGGGTGGGGGTCAAGGAGAAAGGGACGAACGAACAACGGAGGGAGTGGATGAAATGAAAACTGAAAACGGGTGGACGATTTGTGCGGAGGATGAAACTGGGGGTAGAGGCAAAGGTAATCAGACACAAGTTATTGTCACTTCTGGCTGTCACACGTGTAAGAATCACCCAGGCCTCTTACCTGTTTTTGGCGGCTGCTTCTGCCATCCCAGCAGGTTATCTGACAGGTAAGCCCCGTATATGGCTGCTAGCGCCGTCACTGCTACAGGCGTCACGGCTGTAGCAGGAATCGCCAGATGCCCCGAGTGAGCTGGCAGCCCGCTATTGGCTGCAGCTGTAGCGGCTGTGCCTCCTGCTGTGGCCGCTGCCGCCACTAGCTCGCTCAGCACAGCCACGGGCAGCCCGCGTGCCACGTGGCGGGCCAGGGATGGCTGAGGCCGGTCAGGGGTCTGGGGACGGGCAGCGGATAAAGTTGTGGCGGTTGAGGCGGAAGCAGCTCCCCCAGCGGAACTCCCCCCTCCCCCATTCCCCGCTCCCAGCGCGCTAGTTTCCCCCAAACCTAGGAAGCTCCTTGGCTGGGGAACGATAGCTGCCGGAGATACCCCGAGCCTGCAGGTTCGACCGCCGAACCTGGGCTGGAGGGAGGACGGGAGTAGCAACGGCCGATCCGAACCCTGCTGGTTGGTGGAAGCGCGGGCTTGGGCGGTGACGTGGCAGCGAACTCGCGCTCCTAGTGGCCGGAACGGCATCGGGCTTGCCGCTGAGCCAGTCTGAGGATCGAGTAACAAACGGTAGTGTTTTTCTCTACAGCCGAGAAATGGCGAGCGATTGGACAGCTCCTTCGTAGCCGCTCCGGGTTCGCATTTGCGAACTGTAGATTCGCGGAATGTAGATTCGCGTACTGTAGATTCGCGTACTGTAGATCGGCGTACTGTATAGTGCCGTGATGCACGAAATGTGCTGTCAGGAGAGGGGTTACCGACCCTCAATTGTGGCCGTCCTGAGCCGGACGCGACGAATTTGAAACCCGATATGGTGTCGTTAGCTCTAGCTGTAGTATTAGCAGCTGCTACACACTGTCCACGATAAGGAGAAGTCGATTGATGACGAGCGGATTGGCGCGGCGCGATTCGGAATTCGGAAATGGCACGAGGAGATGACGGACGAGGTCCAGAGGAGGTGGTAGTGCAAGGGCTATGTAAAGAACTCGCCAATGAACTAGATATTGGGCTAGAGACACCAGTAGGCTTGGAGGTACTAGAGGGGACGGCCCTAGTGTAAGGTACTGTTACAGAGAGACCAGAGGCAGTAGTGACATGATTGAAAGACTCCATAAAAGAAGACAAACGGAGCAGTGAAGGACGGTAACCTGACCTTTTCCCTAATGTTTTTCACGTGAACGCGACCCCTTCACGCTTCTGCCTGTAACGAGTATGAAGCTGCGAATATCGCTTGATGAAATGGCATTTGGATCCGTGTGAGGCTTCACGCAGTAGACGGGAGGTACGAAAATTACGAAAACTCTATAGTAGCAGACGCTTTAGCGCTTGACCATACCGTCAAACGCGGAGAGGCGAATAGGCAGCGCTAAAGACCTGAGCAGTGTTGGGTAGCTCTGCTCTGACCCGTATGGGGATGCTAGCTTGTACAAGCTCATGGGACAGGCTCATGGGACACAAGCAGGTGTACATTTCCGCGTTCGGCGCATCCGTCTCGTCTCCAGAAAATCGATTCCCGGTTGTGGTCGTACTCAACTCTCCCCCTCAAAATGAACTTCATCGCCAAACAATGGTCCTCGATGATAAATACTGTAAGGGATCTGGAAGCCAACCCAGTGACGCTCTCATCAGTTTTCTGAACACTACTTGAAACAATGAGCATGGCGTTCCCGAGGGTCTGACGGAGTGTGCAAAACCAGCCCGTGCGACCCCGAACGAAGCCGGAGAAGCAATTTGAGTGACAGTACTTGTACGACATCGTGGTATTTCTTTTACTTCAGACTGATTGGCTATCGATTTCGTTCGGGAAGGTGTGGCATGTGACGAGATTGGTTGCTCACAGCACAGCCAGCTTGCCGATTGGTGCAATCTTGTTACTGAGCTGTTTGTTCGCCCAATTTTGTGGCACTCGTGGTATCAATCCACGTGGAGAGTAAGAAGTGCGGTAAACTGGTCTTGTTGAGGCCATCAAACATTTTGACACTGTATATTGAAGAGTAAACTGTGTGCCAGAGTCTAACAATACTGTGTGCTTCGCTTGCTGCGGTTAGGAGTGCGCAATCATTTCTCACTATTCGTAACAGCAGTAAGGGCCCACAGCGCGCCAGCCAGCGAAATCGCCGCCTAGGACGCTCTGCAGCGCGCCAGCCAGCGAAATCGCCGCTTAGGTCGCTCTGCAGCGCGCCAGCCAGCGAAATCGCCGCTTAGGACGCTCTGCAGCGCGCCAGCCAGCGAAATCGCCGCCTAGGACGCTCTGCAGCGCGCCAGCCAGCGAAATCGCCGCTTAGGTCGCTCTGCAGCGCGCCAGCCAGCGAAATCGCCGCTTAGGACGCTCTGCAGCGCGCCAGCCAGCGAAATCGCCGCCTAGGACGCTCTGCAGCGCGCCAGCCAGCGAAATCGCCGCTTAGGTCGCTCTGCAGCGCGCCAGCCAGCGAAATCGCCGCTTAGGACGCTCTGCAGCGCGCCAGCCAGCGAAATCGCCGCCTAGGACGCTCTGCAGCGCGCCAGCCAGCGAAATCGCCGCTTAGGACGCTCTGCAGCGCGCCAGCCAGCGAAATCGCCGCCTAGGACGCTCTGCAGCGCGCCAGCCAGCGAAATCGCCGCTTAGGTCGCTCTGCAGCGCGCCAGCCAGCGAAATCGCCGCTTAGGACGCTCTGCAGCGCGCCAGCCAGCGAAATCGCCGCCTAGGACGCTCTGCAGCGCGCCAGCCAGCGAAATCGCCGCTTAGGTCGCTCTGCAGCGCGCCAGCCAGCGAAATCGCCGCTTAGGTCGCTCTGCAGCGCGCCAGCCAGCGAAATCGCCGCTTAGGACGCTCTGCAGCGCGCCAGCCAGCGAAATCGCCGTTTAGGACGAGCCTCAGATCCGGCGCTGCAAATCAGCGCCCCCACATTGAGACCGGCTGCCCAGGTGCGGGATCCACGCCCCGACATCGAGACACGTGACGTCACAGCGGAACCATGGAAGACAGCCCGGACCCCGGGGATGCCGGGGTCCGGGAGGGAGGAGGACGTGACGGCAAGGCGAAATGGGCCACCGGAAGCACGGAGGAACGAATGACAACGATGACTTCAAAGGCGACCTGCCCAATAGCCGGGCACAAGAGGGGGAGAGAGCCTACGGAGCAGCAGGAGGGACCACTCGTCCGCGGCATGTGCGACAAAGTCACTAGGTGCCTCCACGACAATCTGACCAAGAGGCAACGCCTCGATACCGACCTAGGCGTGGCCACTAGAGAAGTGGTCGAAAGTGGCAATGGAGAGCACAGGCAAGGCAACACCTCCGACGCGGCGATGGCAGCTTGGGAGGCACATCGCCAGCGTCTACAGGAGTCGCATGACAAGCGTCGGCGAGAACTTAACACCCCTTTAGCACGCCCGGCACTCACTAAATGCGACAACTCAACGACATGTGGTCCCCGATTAGCCCGAAGACAGGAACGGAGGCGCAAATCAGGAGTTCCGCGGGGTCAAGGGGAAGGAGCGCGGCGAGGCCCGCAAGCCCGGGGGCAGCAGGAGCCGCAGGCTGGGGGGGAGCAGGAGCCGCAGGTTGGGGGGGAGCAGGACCCGCAGACTGGGGGGGAGCAGGACCCGCAGACTGGGGGGGAGCGGGACCTGCAGGCTGAGGGGGAGCAGACGTTGGAGTTGGAGATGGAGATGGGGAGGCAATGGGAGCTGCCTATTGGAAGGCAGCAAAAGCTGCAGGATGGGGGGCAGCAGGAGCTGCAGGCTGGGAGGCAGCA